TTTYYTYCYTTTTTTTCCTTAATAAAGAAAAACATAATTGTGTTTGGTAACTGTTTTTTGTGTCTTTTTTTTATAGGAAAAAAACAGAAAAATATTTAGTAACCATTTCTTATATATTGTACTCTACAATTTTAAATTAAAAAATAGTAAAAGTTTTATATGAAAATTATTTATTCAAAATTTTATGTTATATTTATTATACATCTTGCAGTAAAAAAGGTGTTTAGAAAAAACTAGAAATAGAAACAAGAAACTTGATTTTGTTGTTTTCAAAATTTCCACACAATTTTRGAAATGTTTCTCAAAAAACGTGAGTAGTTACCAAACACTTGTGTTTTTCAAAATTAAAAATGAAAAACAAAAAACAAGAAACAACAACATTACCAAACGAGCTCGAAGAGACTTTTTTTTTTTTATAGTAAAAATTGCTAATTCTATGAATAACTTAAATTAATAATTTCGCCTTGTAACTCCGATACATCCATTTACTGCACCCAGTTATTCTGTATTCTCAACGTATAATCATTCTTAGACTGGGAATTATATCCATAGATGATGTGATTTGTAGCGGGGAAATGTTAGCCTTTGTGCCTGACACTCATATGGTTAAAAGAAAAGGGAATTGGATATTTTCCTTGCACGAAAACATGCCCGAAATGTCGGTTTCRATCACTTGTTGAATCTCTATGTGAAGTCCTTTTCTTATTGTTGTTATGGTTGTAGCAGTGGGAAAATTTTGCATCCTTAAGACTCCTTACTGATTCTAATCTTTCATGCTTTCTTTTTCACTTCCTGCAGCCAAAGATAGATAAAGATTCCTTGGAGATGTTTTCTGCAGAATGCCCACGCATTACAGTAAATCCAAAGCCATCGCCTTTCGGTTTTAGGGGGAGTCGTGTTCCATGGGAAGCATGGCCAAATATTGCATTGGATGATCATGCCATAGTTGATATCGATCCCAAAACATGGGCAGTAGCCAGATCCATATCAAGGGCTCTAGTTTCTCCCCCAAATCCCTCAGAGTTGTCTTTGGCTGAGAAATTCAGACTYGCATTCGTGGAAAGGGACACTCGGTTGGCTCCAAAACGAGCTAAAAATGCGAGGCAACATCAAAGGCGTGCAGAGAGGGAGTGGATGACGACGAGTCCGAGAGCCAAGGCACTGATCTTGGCCTCTCAAGCAAGTAAAAATTTACAGAGTCGCACATAGCTACTACTGTTTCTCTTTACAATTTCATCATTCAGGATGTCCAACAAGGTTTTGCTTCCTCATCGTTTCTATATAACAATGAGATGTGAATAGTGTACGATACCATAAATTTCTGACAGTGCTATAGCACGTGCTTTTGGGTTTCCCCTGTTGCAAGATCGATAAATGTTATGTACAATACACAAAAAAGAAAAAGTAATTTCAATCCTCAAAATTTCTTGCTCTCTTATTGAATTCCAAGCTTGCTTATGCTCTATGTATGTTGTGTTGGCTATCGTTCGAGAATGGTGTGTGCATGTATGTCGTTCGAGGTTAGGAGTAGAAGTAGAGTAAGACACAAGGAGCTATGGAAATAGCAACGGTTCAATCTATCATAATCTGTAGAGCTTTATAATTACACGAAATTGAGGTATACCATCTACCAAAGAAACATCCAAATTCCAAACAAAGATATAGGATCCAATCGAGTAACAAACAAATTATGAGGAGCTGGTGAAAACGAGTTTCACATTGCATTTTGTAATTTAGAAGATCGGTTCTGATGAACTCTATATGTATAGGAAGGACCCGATATAGTTCTCCGTTCAAAATTTCAGCATTGTATGACAATACGCTTAAAAGTTACCTCGTCTTCTCCACTATCAAATCATCTTTGACACCTCGTGAATGGCCAGAGCCTGGTTTTGCAACAAAGATTATGTGAGGAATACCAACACAAAAAGAATGATGAACAAAGCCAACAAGAACAATATCATCATTATCTGGCCCTTGGCGCTAGCCTTCTTCATGACCACAGCCACTTTTTTCTGTAAGAACGAATACCAGACAMAAGAAAATCGCTTCAAATTTTGATTACTGCTAACTTTCAAAATATCAGCGTCTTATCATTGAGAGCTTCAAGCTATTTTTCATGCATGTGGCAAGCATTGAGATCGTGAACACACCTGAACAAAATCAAGACGATTTGATGTACTGTCCATTTCCATTCCTAGCTCGTCAATAATTTTATCCTGTACAAAAAGATTATATTTTCAAATTTCTAGTCTCAGAAACTCCATCAGATTGCAGATGTATAAGAGAGGATCRACTAGCAGAACTGCAACCTACAAAATATACACACCTGTGCAAGCAGCTCTTCATGTATGGTAAGCCCAACGCCTCCAATTCTCTCCACGCTTGCACTCAGCTCATCCAACTCCTCGTCCTGCTGCCTACATATACGGAAAATAGGGAAACAAAATCCAGGTGAGTAACAATTACCCCACAGAAATGATAGTAAGACAAATTCCTCAGTGACAGCCACAGACTTGGGAAAGAAAACTGCAATTGGATAATGGCCACTGCCTATATACTTCATCATCATACTCAGCTTAGTGATATGTATCTACTTAAGRAGGAGGGATATGTTAACTGAGTTRAGAAACAAAAGCATTACTTTATGAGAAGCAGTTGTCTATCTGATTCGGATGTGATGAAGTCGTCGTTAGCTTGGTGGGGTGTATATAAGTTTGATCTGTCTGTATCGTGTGGGTTAGGTAGTCTCATCAATTCCCGACGCATCCCATTTGCACTAGCGGGTCCGGTTTGCTCCTTTCCAGCTCCCACTACTTTCTTGACATTTCCAACCTTAATAGTAACCCAAAAAAAATATACATAAATACATAAAAGATGCTCAGTTTGAACTATTTAGAAGAATTGGACAGATTACTTAATTATTTCAAATCATTATATAGCTATGGACAAAGAGCTGCTATAACATGTCTGAAAATGAACTTCTGTGGCATAATGGTAGGACCACGAGGAGCACATGCAATCACTTCATGGAAAAAATAAGGACTGAAAACTTATTTATTCCATCCGTTGACAAGTAAGGGATACCTGTGTCCTAGCTGTACTCGTCCATCTCCTTCGTTTTTCAAGTTCTAAATCATCAATGCCATACCAAGAAGGGTCTCTAGCTGCCACAGCAATAGCTTTGTCTAATTCGTCCACCTTCCTATCAAGAAAGCAGACTTTCAGAGAAAGCTTATGTTACCAGCCAAAATTAATAGAACGAGTTASAACATATGCCGGGGAGCACAACATCAAACAAATATGTTTGTAGTCATTCGTACAGTGGTTATTCACATATTGAAACCGCAGAACAAATGCTATCCTATCTTTTCGATGAAATAAAAAAATTCACAACAGGTAAAATAAGCAGACAACATGGTCTAGAAATTGAGAATTTACCTGCCATTCAATGCTCTCACAGGCAGCGAGCAACTCTTTTGTGAGTTGTACTCTCTCTCCTGGATCGGAAGAAATCCTTTCCCATTGGTGAAAGCTGGATTGCAGTTTATCAATCTGATAGAGATGAAAAATCACATTATAAAAATACTGAACAGGTTCAAATTCTGGATCTTGAGATGCATTATTTGATTCATGGATAGTTGAATACATTCCTCTGGCTTACTCTTAAGACATCGGCATTCGACTTTGATAAAAATTAAAGAACAAGGTTTAACACACAGCCACTGAGCTGATCCTAAAAGTTAAATGATGGATGCTATTCAGCCCCAAGATTTGTCTTTGCAAGTTGCATACAAGAACAAAATTCTGCCCAGCCACTATAATTCACTGTCTATAATATCACATCATTCTCAACACTTTGTTCAACATAGTGAAATGTAAACCAGAAACAAATTACCAATAACCATCCTACCAGGCCCATTATGCCAAACTAGCRACCTTTTCGACCAAGTCCCAGTCCCTTCTAACAACAGTGTAATGTCATTACCACATAAATTGTTTGCTACAATTATCTTAGAGAAGCAAAGATCCGAAAGATTAACGAAACCAGAAATCCAAGCACGTCATCTTTTCAGGCAGATAACTTCACATTTGGTGAAGACCTGGAGATATTTCTTCCCTGAGAGAATGRTGGGTTAAATAGCAAGACCATTCTGGTTATATCAAAATCTTGGGCTATATTACAGGGTTCTATTTTAATGTTTTGTTAAATTTGTTGATATTTCTTTTAAGAAACTGAATAAATCATTTTTTTTTTTTTAAGATTATAGTAGTCAACTATTATCTTCAAATCCTAGTTCTACTTGAAGCCCTAGTTAACTACAGGATTTTGAGTCGGGGTTCAGTTAAGACTTCCAACATAAGCTTCTACCTTTTAGATTCCAGAATTTCGGGTCAAGAAACAGGATCGTGCATTTGTCCATTACTTTATACTTCAATAGCTAGTGGGAGGAACAATCCATTTTTCTGAAATATCTAAAATACTTCATCAAGAGCTATTACTAACCATTCGTCAATATTGAATCTAGAAACATAGAACGGGCTTAACACGAGGCATTCAATGTGTTTTCAATAATAAAGCATACTCAGACTTCTTTTTTAGATGACCATACTCAGACCTTAATTTAAAGGATGTCGGTAAGCATAATTCAAAGCACTATAGGTCTATAGATAAGCATAACTGGTCGCAAAAAACTTACAGATTCTTGAATCTCGTCCTTTACAACATAGAAGGGATCTTGAGCCGATGGCATCTTCAACTGCAAAAATTAACACAATCACTTCGAGAAATCAATCTCCCGTCTGCAGTCTCATAGCATGAAAGGAAAACAGAACTCTCACACCCTCAAATCAGCTTAATTCCATTTCCGGTAGAGCAGAAAATCGGATTACATGCACGCGACTTTGTGTAACTCCAAATCAAACACAGAAGGATATAATACTCCAATTACATACTGAGATGATGAATGGGAAATTCGCAGAAAATTCCAGATCATTAGGCAAGATCTAAAATGAGAGCTCGGCAATAGATGCTAATTTCTAGAGAGGAGGAGGAGGAGGAGGAAGAATGGACTTACCGGTGAAGAAATCTGGCTCGGTGGCCGGAGATTGAGAAATCGGAGCACCGGGATCTAATTCTAGCCTATGGTCTGACGCGGGGACGGAGGAAGCTTTTAGATACAAAAGACGTACATTCGATTGGGCTTCATTGTTATTGGGTCAGCCCAGGCTCAGGCCCAGGCCCACTATATGGTCCGGACTTCAGCGAACTGCTTCTAGTGACGTGTCCAATCCAGTAACTGGGACTTTTTGAAATAGAGTACTTAAAAAAAATAAAAAAATTAAGAAAGAGAGAAATGAATAGACCTCCTTAAAAATCCAAGGAAAACAATTTTTTAAATTCACACTTAAATCCATCCTTTATAATTTCGTTTATTATTATTTTTTTTCCTTTTAAACTTGAATGCACAGGCCTACAAGTTTTGAATGAAGAAATATTATGTTTTATTTTTTAACTTTATCTTTTAAAAATCTAAAATCTAACAAAATAATTTTTTTTAGGGATTGATTGGGTGGGATGCAAAAATACATTACTAAATTAAATTTAATAAACTATATTTTTTAAACCATTTAACTTTGTCGGTCCACAACTTATTTGAAATATTAATTATTAAATTAATTTTTTTGTAGTACAACACCTGGGGAATTGAACTCATAATTTCTTAATTTGAGATATATGTTATTTAATGTCACTCATCTGGCAATTATTAAATTAAATTTGATATATTGTATTTAAAAAAGTTGATTTGGTTAGACTTCTAAGAGATGGATTTTTTTTTATAAGAAAAGGAGATGGATTTTAAAACTACATTGTTTATCAACTCTCATATTTTTATTTTTATATTACTATTAATAGTATTATTTACATTAACATTTTAGTTTTTTTTTTTTTATATTTTGGAACTTAAATCTGTCTTGGGACCCTTAAAAATCTAACCAATAATTTTTTTAAATTATACTTAAATCTATCACTTTTTAACTAGTTTTTTTAATTATTTTTTTTAATTTTTAAAACTTAATGTCTTTGTAACCCTACCAAATTTGAATTAAAATTTGTTATGTTTGATTTTTTTTCATTATTATTATTTTAAGAGAAAAATACACTTTTGGTCGAGGTTTAAGATAGTTGTCTATTTGGTCATAAAGTTTCAAAATGAACATTTTTTATTCCTGAAGTTTGAGATAGGTGTCTATTTAGTCTCTAAAATTTCAAACGATCAACAAATGGTGAAAGAAGTCTAAGGACCATTTAGAACAATTTCTCAAACTTTAGAGACCAAAAATATCCATTTTGAAATTTCATGGACTAAATAGACACATATCTCAGACTTCACAGACTAAAAGTGTTCATTTTGAAGCTTAAGAACCAAATAGACCACTATCTTAAACCTCAAGGACCAAAAGTGTATTTTTCCCTTATTTTAAACCTTGCCTTTCAAAATCTAACCTTAAATTTTTTTTAAAATACAATATATTAAATTTAATAATTTATTTTTGAAATAAGTTATGGGCTCCACAAAATAAATACTTTTTATAAAAAGATAGTTTATTAAATTAAATTTAATAATGATTTTTTAAAGTAATGAATCCCACAAAATAAATTTATCCAAAATTAAAAAAATAAAGAAAAATAATGATAATAATTCTTCATTCAAATTTGTTAAGGCCTTAAAAGACAGTTAAATTTAAAAAATAATTATTAAAAACGGTGAACTTAAGTTTAAATGTAAAAAGTTGATTTCGTTAGATTTTTAAGGAGTCAGATACATTTAAGTTTAAATTAAAAAGAAAAAAAGAAAAAACAGTAAACTTTAGTGGCCGACAATTATATTTAATTTATGTTATTCTTTTTGGTGATTGGACATGAGGTGGCAATTTCTTCCTCTTTCTTTCTTTCCTAATTGGCTAATTCTATATATATATATATATATATATATATATATATATATTTTGTCATTAATAATTTTGAAATAAAAAAACAAAATAAAGTTGAATTAGAATTCACTAGAGTAGTTATTTTCATTTTTATTTCTTAAAAACAGTATAAATTTTATCCAAAAAAATTGATATATTTTTCTTAAGCCACTATTTTGAATGCTCCAACACAAACACAAAGTTTGTTTGCTCTTATTCCTAAATATGGGATGTTTTTGTAAATATGGGATTATGCACAAATGGGTCAAAGTTATAATGTATTAAACTCAATATTTTATCGCGAAAAAAAGGACTCAATATTTCAATTTTATTGGAGTAACGAAAATGATTATTGCAATATTCTATAGTTTATCTAAAAGAAAAAAAACAACATACTACTGAAACGTTATCTAAATATGTCATATGTGATTTATCCACGTACGTTTCTCTGAGTGGCCATCATTATTTTTCCACCAATCTTTTAACTTTATAAATGATTTTTATTTTTGTGAGTGATCATTTGACACGGTTTTTTTTTTTTTTACCATTATTATTAAACCACAAAAAAAAACATTCATTATTGCATATAGTTCCACTCCATGAATAATTAAGATTGGCCGTGCGTGTACTTCGTTTTCATGGTGGACGACAACGTCGTTTGAAAAAACAGTACTTTGAAAGCAACCAAATTCATGTCGTACTTTAACAATTCACAATTCCAAGTGCAATGTCTTGTCTTCACTATTTTCCTTTTTCTTAAATTATTATTATTATTATTTCTTAATTTTAGCTATTAATATGCATTACTTTTTTTTTTAAATCTCATTTTTACCTTGCCAACGTGAATATAAGTTAGTCTTAATTGACATCTATCTTTGATCAAAAGATCATAAGTTCGAACATCTCATTTCGCTTATTGTACTAAAAAAATTATTTTACTCTATAATGATTATTACATTTTGATCCTTAAACTTTTAGATTTATTATATTTTTACCTTTTGAAATATCTATTTTAGTTATTTAATTTATAAAAATTTTAATACATGTGAGCATGTATTAAAATCAAATAGATTGGAGGTAAATATTGGATAATCAAATATTATGTGACAAAATAATATAACAAGAACCAAAATGATTACTCAATGAACTGTTTTTTAAGTTCAAGGATCCAAATGGAACAAATATGAAAGAAAGTTTGTGAGTCTAAATAGGCATTCTTAACGGTTCAAGAATTGCAGGAACAAACCTGAAAGCTAGAGACCAAAATAAAAGTTAAATAAAAAATTTAAAGGTTCCTTGGCAAATGTTTTTTTTAATCATTTTTGTTCCTATATACTTTCGAAACATTCATTTTCGTCTTTATAATTTTAAAAAGGGATCATTTTGGTTCTTTCGTTTTCATTTTCATCTTATTTTTCAATAATAATTTTAACCTGACACTCCATTCACTAAGTCTCTTATAATCTTATAATGTAGTTTGACGATAATTGACATATATTTCCAACCAAAAGATCGTGAGTTCGATTCTCTATCCTGCATCTTGTACTCTAGACATATATTTATATATTAAATTTTTTTTATCATGTATACAATTTTTACAAATTGAGATAAAACGAACGTTTTAAAAGTACAAATATTAAAATAAACATGATTTGAAAGTACAAAAAACTAAATAAATAATTTATAAGTTACTAAAATAAATCAAAGTAACGAAATATGATCAAAATAATATTTAATCATAATAAAATTTGAAAAGTTAAAATAAAAAATTGTCATTACGGCCGCCAGCTGCAGAAGAATTAAACGACGACAAGGAATAATGAAGGAATCTTCTGCCGTCGGCATCAAGATCTTACAACTCTGACCAATAAATTAATATTTGGTTTATATTTAATTTTAGTCTTCGAATCTTTATCTTTTTCTTTTTAATTACAAATTTTATCCGTACAGACATAATTTTAAATTAATCCTCCTGATCTTGAAAGTTTCGATCTAACATCAACTTTTGAGTTTAATTTCAATTTAATTTATATCATTCTAAAAAGTTTACTCCGTTTTACGTACTCAAAAGTTTGCTTTAATCTTTATGATATAATCAAACTTCATCGATATCTCTATTGTTAGTATATTGGTACATATTTTAGACGTTATGTATTTAATTAACTATGGTGGATTATGAAGGTAGAATTTCATTTAAAGAACGTGTCATCGTTATCTCGATAGAAGGTCACGTGTGTAAACCTCGCAAGATGAAAGGTTTTTATATTATTTTTTAGAATCGCAAGACGAAACTTCGGAAGAAGCAAGTTTGGAGAACTTGTTCAGTAAATTACCGAACAAGATTATTTATGCTATAAGAATTTTCGAACTCAATTCTATTGCTCGGACGCATAACTGCGCAACCACATTTCACCCTTAATGAGTACTTCACGCCTAAAATTTTGGGAATAACCGTGAATTTGAATTCTAATACCAACATTTATCTACGTTCTATATAAATATCCTAAAATTAAAAGGAAAAGATACACGAATTTTGATATTATAATTTTTTGCAAATCAAATTCCGTATAAACAAATTCTTTGGAGTGCTAACTACTTCCTTGCAGGATCTTTATCTTCAAATGTTCTTTTGAGATCTTATTGCTTCAATCGAAAATTTAGGTTAAAACAATGGGGGATTGTTTTAGAGTTTATGGTTGAGTAAAAAATAGAATAAAATAAGTGAATCTTTTTATTAAAAAAACATAAATTAAGAACAATTTATGAGATCAAATTACAGTTTTTCGTATATATAACTATTAATTCGTAACATTTTAGTTTTAATTATTAAGTTTTATAAGAGGTATTTAGTATGCATGGGAGTAAAATTAATAATTTTAAAATGATAGATAGAAGATAGGACTTTTATATATAGAAAATACTTGCCACTTTAGCATTAAGGATTAAGGATTGTTCCTTATTGTTATAAGGTCAGATAGTTGTCCTGTTAGATTAGTCGAGGTGCGTGAAAATTGGATCATATATTTACGAATTAAAAAAAAACATTAAAAAGCAATATTGTCCAAACCGCCCTTAAATTTTTGACAACTAAGAGGGAGAAATGAAAAAAATATGAAATTTTTAAAAACATGGACAAATTTGATTCTCACTAAGCAAGTATTTTCCTTTATATATAGGAATATGAACTATTTTTGGCGCCAATTCTCAATAATGTAATTTACACTTCACTTTTGAAATATTTTACAAATCTACAAAAAAAGCAACATAAAATTATGTGATAATTTACAATAGTTGTTGGTGACATTTAATTATTTATTGAAAGTTGATATTAATGATCAACAATTAACCTTATGATGTGACCTATATTTATTTTTATTTTTTAAATACTTTTGTCATTGATTAATGACTGCTAAAATTACACAGGACATGTTTTGGAGGAAAATTCTAACTTCAAATATTAGTAAGTGGGTGGTTTGTATCATTTCTTTTTTGGTTTAAATTTAACCTCTTTTTTTTTTAAATTTGAAAATCATTTTATATTAGTAATCGTAATTTGAAAACAACAATTTTAGTATGCAAATTTTGAAGGAATAATTATTTCGATAATCCTCATCAACTTTTCATCATTTTATTAAACATATAAATAACACAACTTAAAAAATATCTCGACTCTCAACTCTCACATTATTGAAGTCAAAATAAAAAATTACTAATAATAATTGAGAGAGATGTGAGATGGTTTAATGAAAAAATAAATAATACAAAATTTCCGTGGTTTAATTTAAAGTGTTATTTTCCAAAGAGTGGCTGGAAAGAAAAATAAGGTTTTTGTATGTTTGGGCATGCAGATACGATGAATGACGGCTGCCCCAATTGCCCGCACGTGCCTTTTCCTGCCCAAACTTTGACATCATCGGATTCTTTTTTTAGTACAACATGTGGGTGGGTGTACGGATCAAACTCACAACTTTTTTATTGGAGTTATATGTTAATTACCGTTGAGCTATACTCGCTTTGGTCCATCAGATTTCTTTTTAATGCCTAAATTAATTTTAAGTTTAAATATTATATTTTTTGGCATTAAATATTCATTGACACATCGACATTTTTATTGACATCTATATATATTTATGAGTTCAATATCGACATGAGAAGTAAATCGAAATTTCCATCATATTATAAAAAATCGAAAAAAAAAATATCAACAAAATGTGACTAAAATAAACATAATATTAAATATTAACCTATTTAAAAATTAAAAAAATATTTATTTATTAATTTAAATATTTTTTATGATTTTTAAATTTCCCTTACTTTTACTTAAATGTTTGTTACATTGATATTTAAAATCTTGCTTTAATATGTATACTTTTTTTATCTCTATACTTTCTACTTTTATTCATTTTGTAGTTGATGTATTTTCGAGCATTCGTGTTTATGTACTATGAGAAAGTGATCATTTTAACCTAAATAATATTTAAATTATAATTTAATATTACTCTCCCTCTTTCTTTCTTTTTTTTGTTTTCTTTATTATTTTTCGTCTTATTACACCCGTCATTAATTACTATTGTTGTCAATCACCATTGTAGACACCGTATTTGGTCCGGCTTTATTTTAGTTTTAGTTTTAATTATTTAATTTTTATTTTATTAAATACTATAGGATTACTTTATTATTGGTTATAAGCTAAAGTTTAAATTAAATTAAAAAAAATATTTTGTTTTAAAGAATTTGATTTAATATTAAAATAAAAGAAATAAAAAGATTTTATTTTATTTATATAATTTTGTTTTAAATAAATTTAGATTCTGTTTTGGTTAAAAATAAACATTTTGTTTTTCCTTCGTCAAAACCGAACATTTTCTCTTCCCTCTTTTTCTCTGGTTTTTGTTGACTCAGACATGTTACTGTTATTTTTTTGGTATATTTAAAGGACACACAACACACACAGGAGGGGAGAAAAAACAAAGAGCACACAGAAGAATGATTTGGGTAAAGAAAATTTTTTATTTTTTATTTTTTCCCTTAGTCTCTGAAAGCGGTTCAATAGAACC